ATTGGTTGGTTCGTTCTTATCGATCTGAATTAATGCCTCCAAAGATCATGGATCATGCGTCGTCATGACATACTAATACTACCACATAGAATCTAATCTAGAAAGTTATAATCAACTCACTCAATTAATTTGAAGTCTACAACAGTAACCCATCATTTAGATTGAATGGGAATTGAACGCTGTATTGAAAGCCGGCTGATATTGGATTATCCATGGCATCTTGATTTTAAGTCACGAACCTAATAGCATTGTGCTCAACATGAAACCAAGAAGGTCTTGTATTAGACTCCCAGTGTGTGATTATGGTTGAATATTTCCAAGTTATTCAACTCTTTACAAAAAGTTTGTCTCATATCCCTCGGTTTTCAATGTTTCATTTAGATGTGGCGAGTTCATGGTGAAAACATTTTGTAATAGGATAACTATTAATTCCAAATTACTCCTCACCACTTTGTTCCTATTTTAGTTCTTTCTGGTTTACTAATTCTATTACTTACTAATATTCAGTAACTAGTGTCAATCCCGATCATTTTCCAGGCTTCAGTTCATCTCTCTATTAGGTCTTTGAAAAGATTCATGACTTTTTTTCCTAGTTATTATTGCAACTGTACTCTAATAAGGTTCCAAAAAGTCATATTTATATCTGTTCTATTCATTTAACCCTTGTTGACTTGTAACAGTCTCTATTCTATATGCATATTTCTCGTTCCAATTTCTTGGATACCCCGTTGTTAAATTAACATAACTACTGGCTATTCTTAGTTTATGGTATGCTTTTGTACATCATTCATACATAATTATTCCAGAAAGTACGAGTTCTTCAAACATAATCTTGATGCATCTTAGCGTATAAGATATCTAAAGAATCAAGGTTTACAAACTGTAATAGTTAGTTCTTGATTGAGATCATGAACCGATTGATGTTAGACCACCGTTGCAAACCTGGAAGCACTGGGCAGCCGTTTCGTTCTATTGTGGGACTCTTCAGCAGTGCGCATCCACGATCCCGCTCGCGGGATTTAAGGGAATTCTCGGAGTTCTAGTGAGAAGCCGTGACCAGTGGAGCTAATCCATGTCGGGTAGAGACAGGTATCTACCTCAGTACAATGGAAGTTGGTCACGCAATTTCGTGGATTGGTTGATGTTAGACACTATCACCATTGGATGCCGGCTCGATACTTCAGTAGATTAAGCGTTCGAGCGCGAGACTGAAGGCCCTGGGTTTGAATCCCGCGGGGTGCGGGATCGTGGATGCGCACTGCTGAGGAGTCCTACAACGAGACGAAACGGTTGTCCAGTGCTTTCAGGTTTCTAAAGGTGGTCTAACATCAATCGGTTCATGATCTCAATCAAAAAATTTATAATCTCCACAACCCCTATACTTGTAACAGTTAGGTTGTCATTAATAGTAGTACCGTATTGTAAATAAGTTCCATGTTTTGATTTCAAAATTTTACGTGTCACTCAATCATTTAATCTGTATCCCGGAACAGATTGAATAATAGTATTTGAAATACCAAACCTATACTTCTTGTTAATTTCTCTTTCATTATCATTTTTATAACTTTCATTCTTTTTTTGGTACATAAATGTATATATTCAAGGATGATCCTCAAGTGCCATATGAAAATTTACCTACGTTTGAAGAATTAGCTGCATACACAAAAGAATTTGATGATCGTGTTATATTAAAAAGTATTCCAGGAATGTACTTAGATGATGAAGATGATTTGAATGAAGATTCAGATGATGATGATAATGATAATGAATTGGATACAGTTGATGAATTTGATGATTTAATATTTGATGCTGATTCTGTCTTATTATTAGATAATTCTAATGATATTCAAATAAATAATACAAGAAGAAAACAAATCAAAATTGGTATGGCACCACCAAAACTTGTTTTAGTTAGACGAAAAGGGGATTATCGAATACCAGATAATATTAGACCACCTTTACAACGATTTAGAATGGAAGTTGTATGTTTATACTTTCTTTAATTATTTTATATCTATTTACATGATTCACTTGGTATTATTTGACTTGTATCTTCCCATTGAGGTTTAAGACTCCAGTTGATCAATCTGTTATCGGCATATGTGCATACTGTGCGTATTCCTCGATATTGCCTTAATTCACAAACTTTTTGTAAGCAATGATGGACTCAGTAGCTAGATGGATAACGCGATGGCGTTTGAAGCGAATGGTACTGGATTCGAGTCCCAGAGTGAACATCAACTCTGCGATGCAAGTACATCGAGCTGACGAGTCCCAAATAGGACGAAACGCGCGTCCTGGATTCCACTGCTAGCCATTATCCATCATTGCTTATTTACATGATTGTTAGTAAAGATTTAAATTATCCCACTGTAAATAATCAGGACTGAATCATAATCAATTTTTATTGATATATGCGGATTCTCTATAGATTGCTTAGATACAGCCTCAGTATCCAAGATAAGTGTTAATTGGATAATGTGTTGATATTTGCAGTGAAAGTTGCAGAGTTTAAGTTCATCTGTAAACGTGATCATTAGTATGTAATTACATCCAGTTGATGATTTAAAATAGAATCAAGTCTATGTACTAGATTCTACTACTAGTTCAGGTAGATCATTTTGATGGAATTTTGTTCTCTGAGCTAAACATCAAGATCTACAAAACAAGCTGTGAATCACATGTAGAGAAATTCGAACACTTCATTTCTATCTAAAGTTTGTGTTGATGATTTCGTTCAGAAGAATAACGAAAGTTCCACAACCAAACCATCCAGCTCAGAGAACAAAACTTCATCAAGAATAAGTAATGAAATTTGTTATGCTTTTCAAAAGCTTTTGCTATCAAAAGTTTTGAGCTCTCATTTATGATATAGAGAAGTAAAAACATGAAATTATCAGACGTCTTTTTCTTTTTTTGACTTTTCTCGTAAAAAAAGAGCAGAATTTTTAATTCATCATGTTGATCGGCAGGGTCCTACAGATTTAGATTTAGTGTTGATCAGGACTTATCAGAAAGATGTATTTAAATGTGATCCATAAGATATAAAATCGTATATTATCATCTATCACAGTGACAGTGTTTGTTTGGATAATACAATGCTAACATATTTGATTGTAAAACGACTTACATACCAATTTACGCTTGTTATCCCTCGTCGAGGAGTATAGATTGACCACCAGTACTCTTCATCCTGTCCTGGGCAATCTTTTCAATTGTTATTCGTTCTTTTCATGTCTGCTTCCAATTCCTGACATAGTGTGTTCTTAGGCCATCCTCTTTTCCGTTTCCTTTCAGGATCCCAAGTTAGCACTTGTCTCGTGATGAAGTCTGATGATTTCCGTAATGTATGTTCTATCCACTTCTGATATCTTTTCCTAATTCCCTCTTCACTTGAAAGCTGGTTTATCTTCTCCTACAGAAGGCTTTTACTGATGGTATTTTGAGTATCTTTCGTAGAAAACTATCTATAAATACTTTTTGATTATGGCTATGGTAGTTCTCCACGTTCCAGCTCCGTATTGAGAGAATGAACTAGATACAGTTTCATAAAATATCTCAGCAAAACTATTATTTGGATATGCTTTATAAGTTGGTTAAGTTAAAATAGTGATTTAAACACATGTCTATTTTGAAAATTTGATCTATTCCATTGTCAATAAGTGTGCGAACATTTAAAAAAAAGTAGAGAAAAGGAATTCAATTACCTACTGATATCTTCATACGAAACTATTCTACTTGGAATTATGTTGGGCAAGATTTTATTTTTATTCATTTATTTGAACACATAAATATTGGTACAAAGTGGAACCGAATACACATGTGCTCCTTAAGTCATTTGATTTTTGTGTGAGCTGTGATAATGTTCGGGTGCCTAAACTGAAGCAGGTGGTTTTCTTAGGGGGCCACAACCAGAGCCTTCGACCTACAGGTCTGATCCACAGAGCAGTGGAGCAACGTAAAGAGATGCAGTCCCATGGTAGCCGGTGACCGACGATTGGTTTACACGCCATTCGTTCCTTCAGGATACTGGAGTTCATGTACACCATAGGTTTGGAATCGGGGCTTTACAACTCCCCCAGGTGTACTCTCCATGTCCACCAACCCGGTTAACGTTCCAGACATTCGCTTTTTGTCCTCTTAATTACATAAACAACACCCCCTACCTTTGAGAATGCAGTGAGTAGAGCAAGATGTCAGGTTCGCTTATTAATCTCATGTCACGATAATGATATGATTTAATTTACTTATTTATGATTAGTTGATTAATCTTATCCGAATAATGTATATCATCTTATTTTGTTTTCATTTAGATGTTTTGGAGTGTATGGGGTATGGTGCGTCAACATTTATTACCAGTGAAAAGACCACGTGTAGTCGTTGAAATTGGTGGACATAAATTAGAATCTGAAATCATCAATGATTTATCTAAAATGCCACTTTTTGAAACCCCGTTGAAAGCAATGGATATTGTAAGTTTAAAATATACAGATTTCATTCAAAAATTTATGTATTTTTTTGGAAAATATATAGCGAGACTATAATTTATGGACGAACCAATCAGATACAAGATAAAAAGTCTCCGATTTTGGCGCGAAATTCATTCACCCATTTGGCTTAATAGAGTCAAGGCATTATAGCTGATGTCAGTTCATGATGAAACACCCAAAAATCTAGTTCTTAACCTTAACCATTAATTGTAAATCATAATTGTAATTCCTCATACAGATTTCTAATCTTTATTTGGTCCTAGTTATTAAGTGAATGCTCTCAAGGTTAGTCTGGCGTCGCTCAAAGATCGTTCATAAATTATAGTCTCACCAAAATATTTGTTACATATTGTTTTACTTGAGTTTTATTGACTTTTCTTTTTATCAATCTCTTCTCTTAGTATTTACCCGTAGATGAACGTTATTGGCCACCTTTAGTTTTTACATGTTTTGATAATCGTATACTTGGTACAAAGATCACAATTGGAAGTCATACAATTTCTAATGCACGTGATTATTTAGTGTTTGATAATGACAGTAAGTTATAGTATATAAACTTGTAATTCATGTTAGTAATTGTGCATTGTTACTTGTATTCGTTATTAATTCCATGATTCCTTCATTACCTCTAAAATTATCACACAATTTATCTTATCTATCTTTGAACTTTACTCGACTATTACACCACCCATCCTTAATCGTTTCCTTGATTCTAACACCAAATAACCTCTGACCTGTTCTTGCACATATATATATAGTTATGATTGATAACCTTGGTCATTCCAATTCTTTACATTCAATTATGTCAATTGCTTCATACGATTTCTTACCTCAATATTAAATTCTAATACATATCAATGGTTGTAAGCAGCTGACGAGGAACCATGATATACAATGAATTCATATTATTCTGATTCAATATTTGTTTTGGCTTTATTTAAATTGCACTGGTTGAAATCATGAGTCAATTGAAGCTAGACCACCATGGAAAACCTGGAAGCACTGGATGGCCGTTTCTTCCTAGTATGGGACTACTCAACAGTGCGTATCCATGATCCCGCATCGCAAGGTTCGAACTCAGGACCTACTGGTTTCGCGCGCGAGCACTTAACCACTGGACCACTGAGCCGGCATTCAACGGTGTTAATGTCTAACTTCAACCAATCCACGAAGTTGCACCACCGTACACTATTGTCTTCAATGAGTTGATATGTCACAACCGACCTGGTTAACACCGTCGGATGCCGGCTCAGTGGTCTGGTGGTTAAGTGCTCGCGCGCGGAACCAGTAGGTCCTGGGTTCGAACCTCGCAGGGGGCGACGTCGTTGGTGCTCACTGCTGAGGAGTCCCGTACTAGGAAGAAACGGTCATCCAGTGCTTCCAGGTTTTCCATGGTGGTCTAGCTTCAATTGACTCATGATTTCAACCACTGAAATTTCCAAAAATCTCCACAAAACCCCTTCTGTTTATTTAAATTGCATGAAAAATATATCTATTGAAAGTTAAGTTTGTCACACATAGTATCCGATTCGTTTCTATGTTGTACTTTTAAAAAGAGATATCAAAGTTACAAATGAATGTAATCTGTTAGACTGGTTAGATTTTGCAAATTCAATATTTCATAGACAGTGGAATTTACTGTAAATAGAACTTATGATAAGTATTTCATCTATGCTTCATCTTGGAAACCAAATGCCCATTAGTTTGGAACAGGTAGTAAATTCTAAAAAGTGCGATAATATATTCATTAGACAAACCTAGATCTAAGCTCTGTGTAAGTATATATTATAGTCGTAAATGAAAAAGTTGCATCTCGTGTGAATAAAATTATCTTACGTTAGATTGTAAACTTGTATTTTATAAATAAGCCATTTGTATTGATTTTGGTAAGTTATCATAAGAAATGGCAAACATGTGTAGCGTGAAGTCGAGTCGCGATTGACTATAAACACCACTACAAGAAGACTACGTGCCAGTTAACCGATAAAATCCCCCGTAAGCCAAATATCAGAAGGCGGTTGATGGCTGTAGTCTAGATGTATTTGTTGGCGATCTCGTGGTATCGAAAGGATACCGAGATCGTGCGAAAGGAGTACAAGCGTGGTTACCGAGCGTAACCGAACCCGTGCAAGGTCACAATCAATGGAAGGATAATGGAGCAGTAATATGGCTGTCTTTAGCACAGTTAAACAAACGAGCACAGTAAAACAATCACTGGTACAATTGGTTGTAATAATGATTGTTTCCCTTAAACCTATCGCTTTCTTTTGATAAAAGTAGGTTACTACACATGTATCGATTGCTACGTTAAACGCACATAGCTAATTCTAGCTTCCAGACAAGCCAATTTAGTCATTCTTCTTGACTCACGTTTTGACATTGTTAATCATTTACTTATCAACCTTGACTGTTTTTTAGATGTGTGTGTGTGTTTCTTATCCTTTTCATCAAATATATGTAACTTCTTTTATCTGACTATAAATGTCGATTTACGCTTGATTAAATTGAGTTGGCTTACTTGCCTTCTTCATTGCACCTCATTTCGCTTTGTTTCTTCGATCGTTTGTCTAGATCAACGACTGTACAAAATATACGCATTGAGAAATCCATTCTCGTATTTGACTTATTTAGTTCCGTTATTCACTAATGCCATTTAACCTGATGATTATATACGAGGTTTGGCGACATGTATATTTCAGTAACAGACATTTCGGTAGCAATCAACATACAATCGAATTGGAGTCAGATTTAGGGCCACTAAAAACAATATTCTACGTTATTTCAACCGTTGTTTATTATGAATGGCTATTTTGTTAATCAGTAACAAAGTAGATTTTTATTGCCTAATCACACTGCTTACTCAACTTATCTTAATATTTCAACTATAATAATGAATAACATTCGACTTTATTAAGAATTCTGATTTTGCCTATTTGAAAACTCCCATATATTTTGGATTATGTCAAAAAATTATTCGATAATAATTACGAGAAATCTATTTCATTTGTTGTTACTTACTTACTTACTTAATTACGCCTTTTACCCATCGTCGAGAATCATAGGCCTCCCACCAGCACTCTCCATCCAGCTCTGTCCTGAGCAATCCTTTCCAGATGTATCCAGTTGCTATTTATCCTTTTCATATCTGCCTCTGATTCCCGACGCAGTGTGTTCTTTGGCAGATTTTTGGTTAGGGTCGTAAATTATAATAAAATATCAGTATAGGGTTATGGAGATTATTATGTTTTTGATTGAGATCATGATCTGATTGATATTAGACCACCACTAAAAACCTGGAAGCACTGGATGGCGGTTTCTTCCTATTGCGGGACTCCTCAGCAGTGCGCAGCCACCATCCTGCTCGCTCGATTCGAACCCATGTCCTTCAGTCCCGCATGCGAACATTTAACCTCTAGATCACTAAGTGGGCATCCGTCGGTGTTAATGTCTAACCTTAACCATTGTACTGAGGTAGATACCTGTTTCTACCCGACACAGATCAAGTTCCATTGGTCACAGCTTCTCAAGCATATAATACTATAGACTTAAACAAAAACCTCATTCCATTTAAATGATACTTGTTTTAAAGTTTAACAATAGAATTATAATAAAACAACTCATGGTTATTTTCTTTTCATTAAACATCTTTTATAGATCAATCATCCGATAGTGCAAGTACAATATATATGGATAGTGAATCAGATAGTCCAAGGAAATTAAATTTTAATTTTGATAAAACTGATTATTTTAATGAAAATGGACCAAGTCTAGAAATGTTAACAAACCCTTCCATGGCAGCAGCAGCAACAACAACAACAACAATGGGACCAACTCCAATGAAATTAAATGATAATGATTTAGAAAGTAAAAAATCAATGGAAACTGGTTTATCATCAGTAGAATTATTAGCTGATATGAATCCAAATTTTCAAAAATATAATTTACATTATAAGCTTCCAGATAATGCTGGTGATTTAGATTTAGTATCTATGGATGGTGATAATTTCGGTCAAATTAATATTGATAAAAAGCCAACAGATGCATTACCTGGAAAGGTATAAAATTTTAATTCAATGTAATAATAATGGTATTAATTCCTCTGTTCCTTCCTTCCTTCCTTCCTTACTTACTTACTTACTTACTTACTTACTTACTTACTTACTTACTTACTTACTTACTTACTTACTTACTTACTTAGGCCGCCGACCAGCATTCTTCAACCCACTCTGTCCTACTCTTTTGTTTTTAGTTCTATCCAATTTTTGTTCATTTTTCTCATGTCTGTCTTCTTTTCTCGGTGTAATGTGTTCTATGGCCTTATTGTTTTTTTTGGCCTTGAGGATTCCATGTAAGTGCTTGCCTTGTGACGCAGTATAATAATATAATAATAATAGTATATTATATACTTGATTATTATTAATAGGTTTATTCAATATTATATTGTTTGGTACAATATAGAATTCTTAGCACAAAGTATTTCAACAAATTTCCTTTCTTTATTTTTTCTATTTATCCTGACGATAAATATTGAGTGATCACCAGTTACATGTTAGCAGTTCAGGAATTGACATCTGAATAATGTTCATCCTTTTCAATGCATGTTGCCAGTTACTACGATGTCTCTGATTGTACTTTTCTGTAACTTGTACAGCGAAAGGTCGTAAGATTTTCATAAACGCACCTGAATGGGTTATACGATTAATAGACATAATGATGTATTGAAACAGAAAAAAGTAAATAACATGTTGAAACATCTAGATAACAGGAACGGGTTACCCAGATATTCAAGAAGGCGGCCAACCGTCTTTATTGTTCAATGAAATTCATGCTTCCAAGATCTAATTAAGATTTTCAACTTGTATATATTTTTAATAGCTTATTTTAATCAATTGTTTACATGATATTGTAACAGAAATTATATTCTTATGAGTAATATTCATCTATCTTCTGCAATCGTCCCATAATAAAAACGGTTAATAAAGACAGATTGCCTGAATTCGTCACATCCATGTGTATTTACCAATTCAGCTGCTCCTGTGGAGCCAGTTATATAGGGAGTACAATTCTGCAAGTCCATTATTGCATAACAGAACACCATCCGTCTTGGTTGAGCAAAGGACAGGTAAGAATAATTAAGAGTTCTATTCTCGCTCACTTGGTGGATACAAGTCATCAAGTTGAATTGAATAAAGCTTTTAAAGTTATCCACCATATTTCACCAAATTTACCACATGGTTTACCAGTTCGTGTTTTGCATATTACTGAAGCCATTGTAATCCATGTTTCCCCCCAATGAGCTTAGGGATAGTCAACCTAGAATTGATATACAAAAAGCCATTATTACTATATGATTATGTATATATCAAATAGGGTTATATTCATTTTTATATTGCTTACTAATATTTAGTATCAACGTCTTTCACTTATTAATTTTAATCGATTCATATTCTAGGCTCATCTTGTTACAACACACTCTGGACCGACACCTGAACAATTAGCTGCAGCTGACTGGTGGACCCGATTCTATGTTACTATACGAAGTGGTGAAACAAATTTCGATGATTCTCGATATAAGGTGAGTTTCATCTCAGTTTCATCTACTTTTCCGAGAAGAATCAAATATCTAAATATTTTTCTAATGTTGATCCAACAAACAGAAAGCTAACAGAAATGAATTTAAGGACAAGCATTGAATATACCCATCTTGATGTAATGAATAGAAAATACTTACTAGAATTTTAACGGACTATTTCCTGTGACATAATTATCAATATACTACAATGCCTAGTGTTAAAGAATCAAATAATTTTAATAAAACTTGGTGGATAAATTTAAAAGCGGTATGGTAACTACTTATAGCACTTCTCTAACCACTGCTCAACCATAAATTCGAAGATAAACTTGCCTAGTAGTATATACAATATAATTAGCTCCATGTATTATTACAAACTATGTAAGGAATGATTAACATTGTTCTTATATGCTTACATTGTCCGATTAGCAGGAACAATCAAAGCTAAGTTCCATGACATTCGTTTCGGTTGATAAATGTAGTTAAAACAAAGATGTCACATTTTTTTGATTAATTGTAATATATAATAATAATAATGATAATGTTAATATTCATAGAAATGAGGCTCATTTGGCTTTTGTTATTATTGATCCATATTTATTGTTGCTGAGGTCACAAGTTACCCGGTTTTGCTAAAGAACTTTAATCTTATTTCTTATAACCATTAACGCAATAACATTTTTTTCTAATTTATATTTTCTTATTACCTTACTGTTTTTTTTAAAATTTGATTAGTTGTTATCACTTCTATCTTGATAATTTCCTTGTGTCCCAAAGTCATATTTTGCTACTATATATACAGTGCTATCCTACGTCAATTATAACTTGAATATCGAGACTGTTCTTTACCCCTATCTTATTCCTGTGTCTCATTAAGGATATAATTACTGAAGCATCATAGTTATCGGTTCCCGAACTATCAGATTTGTATTAATTCCTGTTCGCTTTAGAAGAGTCGTAATATTTCACAATTAAAAATTACCCTTAGGGTTCAATGGTAATTAGTTTCAGAAACTTAATATTATTTGCTTGTATGTTCCCATTGTTGTGTAGGACTACAACTGATCAGTCTCTTGTTGGTATATGTGCATCCTGTGCGGAGTGTCACAAGCTTTATAAGCAAAGGTGGTTGGTGGATAGTAGTAGAATCCAAAACGCGTCCTATTTGGGACTCGTTAGTTAGATGTGAACATCAACTCTGGAATACAGGTACATCCAGTTGACGAGTCCTAAATAGGACAAAACGTACATCCTGGATTCCACTGCTAGCCATCATCTATCTTTGCTTATGTCATGTCGTATAACTAATAGTAATTATCAGTTTAGGGGCTGTGGAGATTGTTAAGTTTTGATTGAGATCATGAACCGATTGATGTTAGACCACCATTGAAAACCTAGAAGCACTAGACGGCCGTTTCGTCCTATTGTGTGACTCTTCAGCAGTGCGCATCCACGATCCCACTCGGGAGATATTTATTAATCCATAGAAAATAACTTTTCTATATCCAATGATATCTTAATTCCATGTTAATAATTTCTATCACTTTGATTTATATAAAACATAAATACATGACTTATTCAATGTAATTAGAATTCTTTATTGATTTATTCTAGGGTGAAGTTAATCCATTAACTGAATCAGAAGATAGTGATATTGAAGAGAAACTAGAGAAAGTTGATGTAAAATCAGAGAAAGACTCAGAAGGTTTGCTACCAATTTATGATTATTGTAGAATAGCTTTTTAATTTATTTGACTATCTGAGTGAAAGATAAAGGTTTTACTTTATTATTATTATGATTTGTATTAAAGTGAAAATATTCTATCGGAAATTAAAAGAATCAAATCAATTATACATATCTCAATAAGAAAATTCTTAGCATACTTACTTACTTACGCCTGTTACTCCCAATGGAGCATAGACGGCCGACTAGCATTCTCCAACCCACTCTGTCCTGGGCCTTCTTTTCTAATTCCATCCAATTCTTGTTCATTTTTCTCATGTCCACCTCCATTTCCCGGCGAAATGTGTTCTTTGATCTTCCTCTTTTCCTTTGGCCTTGAGGATTCCATGTAAGGGCTTGCACTGTGACGCAGTTGGGTACTTTCCTCAGTGTATGTCCTATCCACTTCCAGAGCTTCTTCCTAATTTCTTCCTCCGCTAGATTCTGGTTTTGCCTCTCCCGCAGTTGGTTGTTGCTAATAGTGTCCAGCAAACGGATCCGAAGTATTTTGCGTAGACAGCTGTTAATAAACACTTGTATCTTCTGGATGATGGCTTTCGTAGTTCTCTAGGTTTCTGCTCCATACAGTCGAACTGTCTTGACATTTGTATTGAAAATCCTGACCTTGGTGTTGGTTGGTCAGAATTTTCAATTCAAATGTCGCTAAAAAAGCGCTAACCAGAAAAAAAATTATTCTTAGCATAGCATCAGGGTATTTTTTGATCGGTAAACGTTTGTTAAGATGATCCGGGAAACTTCTTGCAGAAGACAAAAAAAGGTTCAGGAAACACTAAGAAGTATTTTATTCAATCAGGGTTCACTTGAAGTTTAGTCAGAATCATCAAGAAAGTGAAAAGTCACATGTAGAGTTTCTGATCGGCTGATTACTATACTGATACTACGTTTAGTAGCATTCCAGAATCTTGGGGAAACCCAAGGATATCTAAAATATTATGAAAACCCTATATTTTCTGACCTAGAACGAACCTTTGGAGTACAGTGCTTCTCGTTTAATTGCGTCTTTTCTCTCGTGTTCAGGTCGCTGTGTAATTCTAGCTTAGGGGTTACGAGAATAGCTTAGGAACCGAACATAGCGTTCAATTAGCAAGACTTATAAACTTTTTAAAAATGATTCTCCTCAGTTGAATAGTTTATGCTAGGCTTTTGAGATATTTTTTTATTGTTCACTACCGAACTGGTTCAAGAAACTTGAAGTTCAGTAACTTATCGAATCAGTAATAGCCATTAATCTCTTAATGGACAGTAAAACAATTCACTGGATATCATACAGAACAGAACAACTCGTTCACATTAATTACAGACGCTTTAGTAGTACCCTGTAGTTCTCAGTTAACTTTCAGTTAAAGTCAGCTATGTTTAAAATTAGATAATTGTCTCAAGCTTCTCATGTACATTATCTGAAAATGTAGTGTGTGTTTATGTATTAAGCTATAAACCACAGCATTTGTTCAATGGATAATAACACCATACGGTAAAACAACCCTTGATTGAAAAAAAACACATTCAATAATATTTTCCAGCAGTTAAAAGTAACTATAAGAATCACAAAATATTCGTAAACAAACGGATACTTCATTGTTTTATAGTTTTCAGTGATGTAAGCTAATGATGTAATCCACCTTCAAATCAAGTAAGTTTTCATCCATCTAACTATAATAATGAAAGCATATAGCTGTAAAGATCATAACTAATCGATTAAAAAAATCCCTTGTGATAATAATCATCATATGCTTACTAGTGACGGTCTCCAAGAGGTATTTCCTGAAGTTCTAATGAGAAGCCGTGACTATTGGACTTCAACCAGCTCTGTTGTGAGATGGCAACTCACTAAGGACAATGGTGTATGTGCCGCTCAATTTCGTGCATTGGTTGAAGTTAGACGTTAACTTCTTTGAATGCCGATTCAGTGGTCTAGAGGTTATGCGCTCACACGCGAGACTGATATGTCCTGGGTTCGGTATCTGTCTCAACTTGTGGCCTATGTGCCCTGTTAATGTATAACGTGATGATACTGTCAATTAGAGAGCAGTGACTTATCGATTGAACCAAGGACGCGTAAAACACATGAGAGCAGTCTAGAGTCTTGATTGGTCCTGATTTCCGCCTAGCCCAGCCAGTTAAGTCCAGAACACCATACTCAGACTCTGCGATATGAATCATTTATTTCAAACATACTCGGTTAATATACCAACCAGACAGACCACATCATATCAATAAAATAGGAAACAACATTTTTACAAGAATTAGCCAAATGTGGCTGTGAATGAGGGAGATAGTAATTGATAGACAAAGAAGAACTCAAGAACGGTAAAACGTATAATAATAGTTCATAGGTCAAAATAAAGCTCACAATAAGACGGACATGAATATGAATAGTTTAATTACTTAACAATTATACGATAAAAGTATACACATAGTATTGGTCCATAAATGAATCCCAAAATTCACCATACACTATTCTTGTGGTGCATGCTACTTATATTGATATAAGTAGTATATGATGCGAGTCAGGAATGTAATGTCTGGCAGCAGAAGATGGGAAAGATCAAGAAAGGAAGAGCGGGAATAGAAAGCAATTAGTATGGAAATGCAAGAACAATGGAGTTCGAGACAATTATTGAACATTTTGCAAATTAAGTATCATAGTATGGTTTTTCTATTTTACCAAGTAACTCTGTCATTTTGTGCTAAATATAATCCGATTGTCCTCACCTGTGTTCTCCTTCGCTACATTCTTATCAGGATATAATAGTAGCCTGTTAATAAATCCTGACAACCGTATAGTAAGTGCTCAATTTGCAAAATGTCCATCACTTGTCTCAAAATGACTCAAACTTTATTGTTCTTGTATTTTCATACAAATTACATTCTATTGCCATTTTTTTACCGGTCGATCCTCTTGTCATTCTATTGCCAGACATTCTGTTCACGACCAACGTTATATACTACTTATGTCGATATAAGTAGCACACACACACATACACACCATAGAACCTAATACATGTCAACAAATATAAAAAGAAGTATTTCTTATCAATCTAATTCATTTCATTCTCTTTTCTTTTTCTCTTCCATTAAACATTTCATAGAGGAAATTGATATGACAACTGGTACTGGTACAAAATTAAATCATTTAAATTATAAATTAAAAAAGAAATGTTGGCAAAGAACTCATAAAGCTGAAAAGAAAAAATTAACCGCTTTAGAAAAACGTCAATTGGAGATTGCAAAACGTAGAGCTAGAATTGAAAAAAGAAAAAAAAACAAAAAAAATTTAAAAGCTAAAATTAAAGCAAGATTTGTAAGGGATTTTTTTTTCTAAAAAAAAAACAGTTTTAAATGCCCTTTTTATTTGTTTGTTTCTATGTTATATAACTTTATGATCTATGTTGAATAATCAATAATATTTCTTATGATGTCAGGAATGTAAACAGATACTTGGTTGTATTGTGTCTCGGTGTAATCAGGCAACAAGGATAGGAAAATAGACGTATGATCATTTTAGTCTGACTATTTGATTAGTTTGATTATAGTGTTAGTAGGACCAA